CCCCGGTAGGGGGTGTGCAAGAGGTAGCTGGTCGATGTTTCTCTCTCATCAACCTTTCTAGCTCTCTATCTCTGTCCCTTCCTCTCTGTAAAAAATCAATAAAATATATATTTTTAAAAATAAATAAAATAAAATAAATAGACTTCATGCCTGTAATTGGAGTTCCCAAAGAAGAAAGGCAAGCAATGGAATAGAGCAAATCATTGAAGGTACAATTAAGAAGAACTCATTGCTACCTCGAGCTTCTCACAGCTGTGTCAGAGGCATGCCCAGCATCATGGTGATCACAGCTGTGAAGCTCGCTGTCTTCGCAGCATGCTGGGGTGTGGCTCCTCCTGCTGGTCGTTCTGTATTACTGTGGCCATCAACAATCCCAAGAAGCAGGACTGAAAGACCTCAGGGCTTCAGGACATAGTCTGAGGCAACGCAGAGGAAGTAGGGTTTTCACACTTCACTTCATTGCTTCTTCCATCACAACATACACCTGTATTTCTAAACAACCTTTATTTCCTCCAAGTCTCCTTTAAGCCTATGGAACAAGAAGCTACCATTGAGTAAGGCCCAGTATTGGGACTTTCTTTTCTACTCCCCACATCCCAATATAAAAAGATTTTTTTGTCATGTCCCCTTTCCCCCCAGGAATGTTCCTGAAATAAAAGCAACCTAGAATCTGTTTAGAAAGGGCATATTGCATACTATGGAAAACTAAACCATAACAATCATCACCAACACAAATCCTAGAAAATAGACATTGTACTTAAAAAAATAAACCAAGTTGGCCAGCCTGAAAGATCAAGTCACTTGTTAGAAATGCTGAGGACTGCTCAACCTCTGTGCCAGAAGGCAGTGCAGCAACACCTACAAGACACTCAAGGAAAATAGAGTGGATTGTAAATTTCAAACCCAGCCAAGGATAAAGGATAAAGGCTATAGACCAATAAGACCACACACTTAAGAACTCAGATTATGGTCCACACAAGTCCTTTTTTTTCTTTTAACTTTTTAGCCTTTATTTTCATTTTTATTTTTTAAAAATCTTTAAATATTTTTATTGATTTTATAGAGAGAGGAAGGGAGAGAGATAGCTAGAAACATCGATGAGAGTCATCGATCAGCTGCCTCTTGCACACCCCCCACTGGGGACATGCCCACAACCAAGGTACATGTCCTTGACTGGAATTGAACCCGGGACCCTTCAGTCCGCAGGCCGATGCTCTATCCACTGAGCCAAACCGGTTTCGGCTTTTTAGCCTTTTTAAAAATAGAAAATGCCATGTACAAAAATAGATAACAATGGACACTCATGAATAACAATTATTGACTCAACCCCAGATTTCTCTTAGCTTGTTACAGAACTTAAGGGTGTCACTGCTTGGGTGTTTTATTCAAGAACAAGAAGTGGTTGTCCCTGCCGGCACTGGTTTGGCTCAGTGGATAGAGCGTCAGCCTGCGGACTGAAAAGTCCCGGGTTCGATTCCAGTCAAGAGCATGTACCTTGGTTGTGGGCACATCCCCAGCAGGGGGTGTGCAAGAGGCAGCTGATCGATGATTCTCTCTCATCGATGTTTCTAACTCTCTATCCTTCTCTCTTCCTCTCTGTGAAAAATCAATAAAATATATTAAAAAAAAAAAAAAGAAGTGGTTGTCCCAAGGTAGTTATTTTGTTTGTTTGTTTTTGGTTTGTTTTTACTTGCAGCAAGAAAAGGAGACAGGGGATTTACAGCCAAAGCTCCGTCTCTGAGAAGGTTGGCTCAGCCAACCCAGGGACCAAATGGTGGAACGACCAGTTCGACTGGTTGACCAGTCGCCATGACGTGCACTGACCACCAGGGCGTGGACACTCACACAGGAGCTGCCCCTGTGGTCAGTGCGCTCTCACAGGAGTGCTGCTCCGCTGGCTGACCGCGATGGCGGCTCTCCCACTGTGAACCTGGGGCCAATGGGCAGGAACCCAGGCTGCGATCGTCACCTCCTCCCCTCAGGCTCCTCCTCCTCCTCACTCCCTGCCACCTCCTCTGGACACCCGCGGGCCACACAGCCCCACCGGTGCACTAATCCCATGCACTGGGCCTCTAGAATTACACTATTTGGTCTGCTATACGTTGATTTCTTCTTTGTGGTTGGCTACGTTTATTGGGCTGGGTTCCTGTGAAGCCCATCCTGTTTGCAGCTGGTTTCTCTTCTGTCTATAACCCACTGGGAATCAGAGCTGAGGTCAAGTGGAACCAAAATGTGATGCTAGTGATTGTGTTCTGCCAGTTGGGGAACTGGACTTTGGAGAATTAAGAATTATTTGGGGGGATTGGTAATGAAAGAATTCATCTTTGGAGACCTGACTGAGACCCCACAGGTATGGCAGCCACAGTGTTCCCTTTCTTGGCTGATCTGGGCTCAACTAGCTTCCTCAGCCTCCTGGAGGCAGGCTTGGGCTCCCACAGGCTCTCACGGGCTCCCTGGGGCACCTGTCCATTGTGTACCAGACCTGGGGCAAAAGACAAGTGGAACCTGGACTCCTCCTCAGACTCCGCATTGGGGGACACAGAAACAGGCATTTGCATGGTGCATGGTGCACCGGCTGCACGGGGTGGGGGCAGAGTGGAAGGGGCTGCCCGGAGGTGGCACCACTGTGAACCTGACAGTAGGTGAGCTCAGGCCATTCAGTAAGTGAGCCAAAGGAGCCGCGCCTGCGTTATTCAGCAGATGTTACCGGACACCAGTCTAGGCAGGGCGTGCTCCAGTCAGTGGAAGAGACTTGCTTGTAGCCACATGGACAATCGTCACAGAGATGCACACAAGAAAGTGGCTGTTTAGCATAACTGGAAAAGAAGCGTGGGCTGTGAGTGTATGCGGTCCACCACTCTGAGTGTGTGTGTGTGGGGGGGGGGGGGGGGCAGACAGGGACCAGAAGGGTGAGAGTAGGAGCCGCCTGGACAAGGGTAATTCAAAGGGAGAATGGAGAGCATTCCAGACAGAAAAACAAGCCAGCATGTGCAGACCTGCGGCAGCAGGAGCGGGTCCGGGAAATGAAAGGTCCGGCCTGGGACTGAACGGGAAGGCGTGCGGGGGTTTTGTTTGCAGCAGGAAGCCTGACAGTGGCTCAGGGGAGGCGGACACCGGTCCTCTCACCTGGCATGTGGCAGCTGCAAGATTGGTTCAGGGACTGAATAAAGGAAGCGGAACCCAGGTTCTTTCTGTAGCTCTGCTCTGCCCTAACCAGCAAGTTGGCGTTTCCTCGGGCTTGTTCCTCTGTGGTTACAAGTGGCTGCCAGTTTGAAGCGTCATTTCCAGCCACGAAAATGCACAGGGGAGCGCTGGCCAGGCTGACGCAGTTGATGTGCGCATCCTCCCTGCGCGGAGGGGTCATGTTTGATTCCCAGTCAGGGTGCTCATCCAAGCTGCAGGTTGGGCTGCTGCTTCCGGTTTTGTTTCTTTTTTATTATGAAGAATCTTTCCCAGAAGTCCCCTGGCCCTCTAAAAAGCCGGATGAAGACAGATCGTCCAGCCAATTGGGACTTCTCCAGGAGTCACCAGAAAAGACCCAGCGGCTCAGCCCCACCCATCCCCAACCGTCCTCTCCCGCCCCGGCTCCCCTCTCCCGCCCCCCCCCGCCCCGGTCCCCCCCTCCTGCCCCCCCCCCGCCCCGGCTCCCCCTCCCTCCCCACCCCGGCTCCCCCCTCCTGCCCCCCCCCCGCCCCGGCTCCCCCCTCCTGCCCCCCCCCGCCCCAACCCCCCCCTCCTGCCCTCCCCAGACGCTGGAAGCAGCCCAGCCGCCCAGGCGCTGGGCGGGAGCGGGCCGGTCCCTCTGCAGACCAGGGGCTTTGGGTGCGGGTGGGGCGCCTGGCCCGAGGGGAAGGGAGAGGCCCAGCAGGGCGTCACCCAGGCTGCCCCTCCCCTTAGCGGCATCCGAGGAATGGCGTCCCCTCCGTTCCCGCCCGCAGGCCGGGGCTGCGGGGAGTCTGCGCTCCTGCAGGGCGGCTCTGCTCCCAGGGGGGCGGGGCGGGCACGGGGGGGGGGGGGCGGGCAGGGGGGGGCCGGGGCCGAGGACGGGGCGCAGGCGGCGGCGCGGGGGCCGCGCCCCGCGGAGGCACCGAGGTCCCAGGGCGGCTCCTCCCGCGCAAACAAGTCCGGGGCGGGGCTCCCGGTCCCAGCCAGGCTGACTCACCGCCCCAGAAGCCGGCACAAACACCCCGCGGGCGGCACACACCCCAGAAGCCGGCACCCCCCCAAGGGGCGGGGCGGGTGGAGGCCCAGAAGCCCGGCCCCGGGACTGGGCGTGGTCGGCGAGCTCCAGAGCCCAGGTCTCCTCGGCGCACCGGGCCCAGGGTGCCCCTTGCTCAGGTTGCCCCTTGCTCAGGTTGCCCCGTGCCCAGGGTGCCCCGTGCCCAGGGTGCCCCGTGCCCAGGGGTGACCCATTCCCAGGATGCCCCGTGCCCAGGGTGCCCCGTGCCCAGGATGCCCGGTGCCCAGGGGTGCCCCATTCCCAGGATGCCCCGTGCCCAGGGGTGACCCATTCCCAGGATGCCCCGTGCCCAGGGTGCCCCGTGCCCAGGGGTGCCCTGTACCCAGGAGTGCCCCATTCCCAGGATGCCCCGTGCCCAGGGGTGCCCCATTCCCAGGGGTACCCCATTCCCAGGATGCCCCGTGCCCAGGGTGCCCCGTGCCCAGGGGTGCCCCATTCCCAGGGTGCCCCGTGCCCAGGATGCCCCATTCCCAGGGTGCCCCGTGCCCAGGGGTGCCCCTGCCAAGCGTTATGGGAGAGCAGCTCCCAGAGCTGAGCCCTCCCCCAGGACCTGGGGCGGCGGCTGAGCCCGCTGTGAGGAGCCTCCGGGTGCCAGGGCGGCAGCCCCGCGGGCACAGGGGCACAGGGGCCTGGTGTGGACTCTGTCCCGGCGCCGGGGGCGGAGGCAGACGCGGACACAGGCTCGGGGCACGGCTTTAATGCGGCCTCATGCCGGGGCGCCGGAGCAGGGCTCGGGCGGAGGGGCGCCGGGGCCCCTTTGTCACTTCAGGAGACCCATCTTCTTCCCGAAGCCCGAGAAGGCCTCCGAGGCCTGGCTGGCCGTCTTGTCCGCCGTCTCCTGGGTCACTTTAGCCGCCTGGTCCATGGCTGGGGGAGGAGAGGAGAGGGTGAGGGAGGGGAACCGGGGAGGCAGGCCCCCTGCCAGGATGCATGTGGGCAGCGGGGCTTCCGAGGAGAGGGGTGCTGGGTCTGCGCACCCCCCCCGCCCCCCGCCCTCCGCCCAGCCCGGCCCAGCCCCAGCCCCAGCCCCTGGCCCCGGGTCCCCGGCCTCGGCCCCAGTCCCAGCCCGGCTCCAGCCCTTTCTGCCCACACCCCTGCCCTCTGCCCAGCCCCAGCTCCACCTCCCTGCCCTCCGCCCAGCCCGCCCCAGCCAGCCCCCAGCCCCAGCCCGGCCCCGGCCCCAGACCTTTCTGCCCAGCCTCTGCTGCCTGATCCACCACTTGCTGGGCTGCTGCTCCCGTCGCAGTCACTGAAACAGAGATGTAAAATGTACCTTTAGGCCCTGCTGAGGCCCATGGACCACAGGGACCCACCCTGCCACCCCCTCCCCCCATCTGTGCTCTGGAGCAGCCTGTGCCCCGGCCCGAGGGACAGACGCCATCAAGGTGAGTAAAGCCCCTGGACCAAGGCCCCAGCCCTGAGGCGGAGCGGCTTCCATGCCTCTGGGGGTTGTTTATTTATAACCCTGGGCTCCTCCCCTGGCCTGCTCCCACCCAACCCGGCGGCGCACAGGGAGGCGGGCGGGGCCGGGCGCCGGGCTGGAGATGGCTCTGGGCTGTGGCTGCTGGGCCTGGTCCGGGAAGAACCCTGCCCCCTGTAAGAGCCCCCAGATGCCTGGGCTCCCGCCCTTAGTGCATCGGGATCTCTCCTTCCTCAGGGCCCTCCCCACCTCCTCTCCTGTGCCTCCACCGAGGGGGCACCGCTGACCGTGCCAGTGCTGCCCGGCCGGCAGCCGAGGCAGAGTGCAGCTGTAGGCAGAGCCGCCCGGCCGGGCCCCTTCTCTGTCCAGAGTGGGGCCTGTGGGGCCTGCGGGGTCTATGGGGCCTGCGGGCGTGTGTGCCCAGTGCCTCTGCGGGCAGACGGCTGGCTCCGGCCTCAGGGATCTGACTCCTCCTTGCTTCTGAACAGGACAGGGCTTGCCTTCCCACACCCCGAGGTGTGTGACACAGCCAGGACCAAAGCAAGCTCTGCACCCGCTTGCAGATAAGCGGGGTGCAGAGGAGGGCCCACAGAAGGAGAGTCCCGGGCGCTGGTGGGAGGGGGTGGGTTGAGCCGTGGTGGGACTGCAGGAGGGCCTGGAGCGGACCGGAGCCACAATCCCAGGGAAGATGAGCTGACACCGGTGCCGGTCCCCTCACAGGCCTCTCCCCGCCCCTCCCTGGCTGTGACCTCAGCCAGAGCAGTAAATAGCTGAGGCAGAGCAACCCAGGCTGGGACCTGCTCTGCTGGGGGGGAGGGGGTGTCCTCCAGCTGAATATTGAAAAGAAAGGAAAACTTTCAGGGGGAGGAAAAGTCAGAACAAAGCCCATGGAGGTCCGTGCCACCATTCCATCAGGCTGTGTGCTGAGCGGGGTGGCAGAGGCAGGCTCAGATGGCAGTGCATTCACCCGCCTCAAGGACCCCCCGGGGCCTCCCCGATGGGCTCTAGCAATCCCCCAAGTGCAGCCTGGGCTCCGCACCGCAGTCCCCCACTCCCACCTCACCCCAGGGCCGGCCGTCTCCCGGCTGTCAGGGTGGGTGTCCTGCCAGACCCGCTTCGTAGGGGAGGGCGGGCTTTGGGCCTGAGCCCCCTACCAGCTTCCCCTCCTGGGCGGGACCCTGCTCCGATCCCCCAGCCGCGCCCGGAACGCCAGGTTGGGCGCCTCCTCACCTGCCTCCTGGGCAGTCCCCTCCACCTGCTGCTTCAGGTCCTGCCAGCCCTTGCCGGCCATGGTGCGGTCTGCGCGGGCCTGGGTGGTGTGTGCGACGTTTGATCTAGAGGCTGCGACTGTGGTTTTTAAAAGGAGCCGCGGGGCGGGCCACCCGCATTGGGAAGGGGGAGGAGGGGAAGGGGGGCAGGGCGGTTCCCAGCGCACGAGCTGGAGGAGTGACCTGGCCCTGCTCCAGGCTCCACCGCCCGGCGCAGCCCGGCCCCGGCCAGGGGGTAGAGGAGTCAGGACCTGCAGAGGGACGGGGCCGGAGAGGGTCTGAGGGCAGGAAGGGGGCGCACCCCCCCACACCCAACGGCCTGCTCTCCCTCACGGCCAGAGGCTCCCGGGACCTGTGCGCGGGCAGCGCCAGGTCAGGATCACAAGAAGTTAACCCAGCAGCTGCTTTTAATGAGCACGTCCTGTGCCAGGCGCCGGGGGCTGCCTTCCAATCGTTACAGCCCCGGGAAGCGGGCCACCGGCTTACAGGAAGAGTGGAGGCGCTGAGCGGTGGAGAGGGAGTCACCGCCTGCCCCGGGCCGGCCAGCGCGTGGGGAGGTCGGAGCCTTAGGTGCTGAGGGTCCAGGATCCCAGGGGCCGCCCGTCCTGCCTGCATCGAAGGGCAAAGGGCGGCCCCACCCGCCTCAGCTCGCCCACGGGGAGCCTAGAGGCCACCGCTGCCCGCCCCCCCCTCCCCCCCCCCCCCCCCCGCCGACGTCTGCAGCATCCTGCCCTCTCCTGCTGCTGGTTCCTCCTCGCCAGGCCTGCCTGCTCCTCCCCGGAGTCTCCCCATCCTGAAGCTCTGGGCCCACCTACCAAGGCCAAGAGAGCCCAGGGGGCAGGACAGGAGGGGCGGGAGGGGCAGTGCTGGCGTGAGGTGTGTGGAAGCAAGACACACACACTCGGCACTGCGCACTCGGCGCACTCGGCGGAAGGGTGATGGAGACGAGGTCAGCCCTCGCAGGAGGAGGGGCAGCGAGGCAGGCGGGCAAGGCCTCAGGCAGGGCTGCCTGTCCGGGCACACAGCTCGCGGCAACGCCTGAGGCAGGCTGGGGGGCTCTGGCCCCATCCTGGTCACGCCGCCCGCCCGCCAGCCTCCTGAAGCAGCAGCAGCGGAGTCAGCGGCTCTGTCTCACCTCCACGCCCCAGGGCAGGGCCCGTCCTGGGGGACAGAGGACAGTGAGGAGGAAATAGGCCGAGGGTGCCCAGACGCAGCGAGGGCCCTTGAAGAGGGGCAGGCCCGGAGCTCTCTACCAGCGGGGCTCAGGGAGAGGGCAGCTGGTCCCGGAGGAAGCCGGGCTCAGCGCCCTGCAGGCAGGCAGGCAGGCAGGCCGCCCTGGGCCGCGCAGGCCTGGGGCCGCCTCGGCGGGACGGCCCTGAGTGGAGTGGCGGCAGGGAGCCGAAGCAGGCCACCTCTGCAGGGAGGCAGGCTCCTGGGGAGCACTGAACCCCGAGGCCAAGTCTAGCGCCCCTGCCCCAGGTGCCTGTGTGGCCAGCTCCTTCCTGCTCTGCAGCCCAGCAAGCACTGCGCGGCCCGCCAGGCCCTGCGGCCTCCTCTGGGCCTGGCAGACCTGCTGAGTCATGTGCTGGGCGGCCTGGGAGCAGGACCCTTTGGGACCCTTCCCTATGCCCAGGGGACCAGCAGCCCCTGTTCCCGTCGGCCTCCGCAGCGGTGGGTGTCCATGCCCAGCAGGCGGGAGCTAGCCCAGCTCAGCTCTGCCTGCTGGTTTCCAGCCCCGGGCGCCCTGTCCTTGCTCCCCACCGAGGCAGGATGGCCACCCAGAGGCAGGATGGCCACTCGGAGGAGGCCATTCTCTGACTCCAGCACCCAGGGCGGAGGCCTGGGGCAAGTCACTTGCATGCTCTGGGCCCAAGCTTCAGGTGTCCAAAGGGAGGGAACGCCTGGTCTCTGCTCAGCCACCTGAGCAGCCCTCCGGGTGTGATGCCCACAGCACCTCAGGTAGGACTGGAGCGGGGGCAGGCCGGTGGCCGTGGCAGAGTCTGGGAGTCGTTAACGAGAAAACCACAGGCCCCAAACAGGGTCACTGGTGCTGAAAACCCGGACACCAAACCCGATGTAACACCTGATCTAACTGCAGCTTCAGCCTCTCCTGGAGCAACCAGCCAGCCTGGGATGAGCCAGTTAGATCTTGGTTGAATCTTGTTTTTTCAGTTAACGGAGTGGCTCTGGAGGGTGGCCACCGGGCCCCGCTCAGCCCCACACTTCCTGGCTGCGTGCCCTTGGAGAAGGTACTTAACCTCTCTGTTCCTCAGTTCCCCTCTCCGAGAAACTGGGACCAGACAGGATGAAATGAGGTGAAGCTCTCCGAACCCGATGGTTTCTCTCTGGGCGGGGGCTTCAGCTGCTGTGTCCCCTAATGGTCCTGGCACGACCCTTGCTGCTGAGATGGGAGGAGGGAGGAGAGGTGGGAGGAGGGAGGAGAGAGGTGGAGGCTGGGAGGTGGGAGGTGTGAGAGGGAAGGGGGGAGGGGGAGAAAGGTGGTGGGGGAGGGGGTAGAATAGAAAGGAGGTGGGGGGGAGAAAGAGTGGGGGAGGGGGAGAAAAGGAGGTGGGGGAGGGGGGAGAAGGGCGGTGGGGGAGGGGGAGGGGGAGAAAGGAGGTGGGGGAGCAGGGAGAAAGGAGGTGGGGAGGGGGAGAAGGAGGTGGGGGAGGGGGAGGAAGGAGGTGAGGGAGGGGGGGAGAAAGGAGGTGGGGGGGGAGAAAGGAAGTGGGGGAGGGGAGAAGGGAGGTGGGGAGGGGGAGGGGGAGAAGGGAGGTGGGGAGGGGGGAGAAAGGAGGTGGGGGAGGGGGAGAAAGGAGGTGGAGGAGGGGGAGGGGGAGAAGGGAGGTGGGGGAGGGGGAGAAAGGAGGTGGGGAAGGGGAGAAGGGAGGTGGCGGAGGGGAGGGGGAGAAGGGAGGTGGGGGAGGGGGAGAAAGGAGGTGGGGAAGGGAGAAGGGAGGTGGGGGAGGGGAGGGGGAGAAGGGAGGTGGGGAGGGGAAGAAGGGAGGTGGGGGAGGGGGAGAAGGGAGGTGGGGGAGGGGGAGGGGGAGAAGGGAGGGGAGCTGGTGCTCTGGGCTGCTGAGAGCCTGTCTTGGGTGGGAGGAGGCTGGAAGGCCTGGCTAAGGGTTTAGGCTTCACCTTTGGGAAGTTACCGCCGATCCAGGCGGGGTGCTAGGTGTCCCTTTCTCCGAAGGACACTGGAGCCAGCGCTGGCAGGATGGCCCGGAGACCGTGGTCGCCTCTGCTGGCGGGCCTGTCCTCAGGGAAAGGCAGTGATGGCTGGTCGGGGCAGAGGCATTCCCTGAAGGCAGGACCTGCTGCCAGCAGGTTCCAGAAATGCCAGGTGTCCCGTCCACAGGCGGCCTGGGCTCTCCTCCCGGGAGGCCTGGGCTGCTCGAGGCGAGGCGGCACACAGGAGCACGGACAAGTAGGACCAGGTGTGGAGATTGAGTTTTATTTGAAATCTCTAAAGAGAAGAATCCCACAGCATCTGTGGGATAGGAGGCCCGGAGGCTGAGGGCGAGGGAGAGGACGGAGTGGCCTAGCACGGGAAGAGGCTGGGGTGCCAGGAAGCAGGGCGCCCGCAGGTCACGCCCCAGGACTGACGGGCACGCCGCGGCCGAGGGGCTCCACGCAGAGGGGTCCTCTGGGCTCTGCAGCTGACCCGCAGCCTCTAGTCTTCCCAACTCTTGGCCTAGGAGAGAGAGTGACCTTCACAGCCCTGCGGGCAGGGACAGGAGTCATCGCTACCCCTCCGCCCGAGGGCGCTGGTACCAGGGGGAAGCAGCGAGTCTGTGGGGGGTGGCGGTCCCAGGGTAGCTGGGGGCCCAGCTCCTACCTCCTCCGCTGCTTCCTCTTCGGCTGCCTCATCCTGGGGCGGGGCCGGCGGCTTCAGCTCCTCCTGTGGGGAGAGGGCGTGGGGCCTGGTGGGCGGGGAGCCCTCACACCTCTGCACACGCGGTCCAAGGTGAGGGCGTGCGAGGGCCTGGGAGTGATGGTCATGGGAGGCCGCGGGAGGCCTGTGCCTAATGGTGCCACGGCTGCAGGGTCCACACTCCTTGGAGCTCTGCTTGGTGCTGAGGCCTGGGCAGCCCCTGGCTGGGCCTCCCTGAGGAGCCTGGTGGGTGGGCAATGGCCTCCGGAGTCCCCGGAAAGCATGAGGAGAAGGGACAGCATCGGTCACTGCTCACACGGGCCCTGAGGCAGGAGGCCGACACTCACAGCAGGGGGCTGCGGGCATCAGGCGGGGCTTGCTCCAGGCCCTCCCCGTGCCAGGAGCAGGAGCGCCGCCTCCTGCCCTCTCCCGCCTCCTGGGCGCCGGCTGTCTGGTTCACGCTGTCCTCTCCTGTCTCCTCCGCGCACCCAGCGGGATACTTGCCTGAGATGCGGCCGGCCTAGAGGTGGCCTAGGGGTGGCCGTGTGACCGCTGGTGGACAGGGCGGCACCTCTGTGCCACCGCCCTACCCTTCGTGGGCGGGGCGTAACCAGCACCAATGTCAGCCGGAGCGGGCGCAGGCTGTCCCGGTGGGGTGGGCGGCCACCTGCTTAGTCCGCTGCCCAGAGCAGGGCACGGTCGGCGGCAGGAGTGGCCGTGCTGCATCCTCACGGCTCCCTGCAGGGTGAGTGGTGACTGGCGGGGCGGCTCCGAGGGTCGGGGGGAGTGCCCAGGAGCTCCCACCAGAGCAGCTGGCGTTGGGAGCAGGGGGAGGCCTGGTGTGTCCTGCAGCACACGGGGGCGGGGTGCTGCCCAGGCACCCGCCTCTGTTGGGTGCTCACCGTGGGCCTGTCCTCGTGGCCTCCTGGGGGCCATTCGCTGCCTTGTCACACAGCCAGTGGGACACACTCTGGCCCCTCCCATTCAAAGAGGAGGAAATGGATGCCCTGGCCTGTGTGGCTCAGTTGGTTGGGCATCACCCTGTGCACCGCAAAGTCAATGGTTCGAATCCCAGTCAAAGCACATTCCCAGGTTTCAGGTTCCATCCCCGGTGGGGGTATGTATGGGAGGCAGCTGGCTGATGTCTTTCACTCTCCCTACCCCTCTCTCCCTCTCAAAACAAAACAAAACATCAGTAAAGCTTAACCTCAGGTGAAGATTTAAAACAGACGAGGCCACAGAGGTCCAGGGAGGCTGCGGAGCCTCCCACGTGGAGCTAGGACGGGGCAGAGCTGGGCCCGAGCCCCTGCAAGGCCCCCAGCGTGGGGCGTAGGCACAGCCTCCCTGGGCCTCACCTGCACCTGCCGGGCGCTCCGAGCGGAGGGCGCTCCGAGCTGAGGGCGCGATGCCCGGCAATGCTTCCAACAGGGCCGCCCGGGGGGGCGTTTCACCCGCCCGCCCGCCCGCCTCGGGGTCCCCGCTGTTCCTGTGCGCTCTGCAGGGGCAGCGCACACACACGCACACACACACTCACACTCACACACACACACACACACTCACACACACACTCACACACACACTCACACACACACTCACACACACACTCACACACACACTCACACACACACACACACTCACACACACTCACACACACTCACACACACACACACACACACACACTCACACACACACACTCACACACACACACACTCGTGCACACACACACACTCACACACACACACTCACACACTCACACACACACACTCACACACTCACACACACACTCACACACACACACTCACACTCTCCGGCGTGCACACACACACTCTCACACACACTCTCACACACACTCACACACTCACACACACACTCATACACACTCACACACTCACTCACACTCTCCGGCGTGCACACACACACTCCGCACACACACTCACACTCACACACACTCTCACACACACTCACACACACTCACACACACACTCTCCGGCGCGCACACAGCAGCACACAAAGGCCAAGGAGGGAGGGTGCAAACTCAGTCTCCACCAGCAGAGGGCGCTGCTTCCCGGAGGCGGAGGGGCCACCGCAGAGCCGGGGCCACACCCGGGGCGGGGCCCGGAGACCCGCTTTCCTGGGGGGGGGGGGCGGGTCCGGGAACCTGTGCGGAGCAGCCCCCCCCCCCCCGCCGGGCCGAGGGGACCCGCGCCCGCCGCCGGGGCGGAGGGAGGGGCGCGGGCGCGGCGGCTCACCTTGCGCACCACTCCCGAGGTGACGGCGATGTTCTCCGCCTCCTCCACCGTCTTGGTGGCCACGGTGTTGACGCTGCTGACCACCGCTTCGCTCACGGCGTTGGCCTGCTCCTTGGTCTTCTCAGCCACTGGGGGAGGACGCCGGCTGGCCTCGGCCCTGACCCCTCCCTGCCAGCCAGCCTGCCCTGCCTGAGCAGACCCTCCCGGCATCAGCCCCTGGCTCTGCCTGGAGCCCAGACTGCCCCCCCCCCCCGGGTTCTGCGGGGTGTGTCTGTGCACAGCTTGGGGTAAGGAGGACCCGAGCTTGGCCCTTCGGTACCCGGTGCAGAAGGCCCTGGAGGTCCGGGCCCTTCACCCCCTGGTCCCCGCTCCTCACCTGAGGTCACGCTCTGCACCACACCCTCCTTGGTCTTGGCTCCTGGGGAGGAAGCGGAGGCATCAGCCCAGACCCACTCCTGCTGGTGCTGGGGTAGGTGTCAGGGCAAGCTGGGGGCGGTATGGGTGAGGACCGTGTCTGCAGGCTGGCAGGCCCTTCAAAGGCTGCTTCCTGCTGTGTCTGGGACAGGAGGAGGATGCAGAAACCAGGGCTCTGGGCCTGGGAAACTGCAGCAGGAGCAGCTGGGACCGGAGCTGAGTCATCAGCTCGGCCTCCTCTTCCTCAGGAGGGAGGGAGCGAGGAGGGGGCTGGGTCTTACTCCCCAGTCCCACCCCTTCCCCTGCGGTGGAGGCCTGTGTGTGTGTGGGGGGGGGGGGCCTCCGGCTCAGGGTGGCTTTCCCCGCACTGAGCCCAGGGCCGTGGGCACTGGGAACAGGGCTGTGTCAGTGCACAAGGGCACAAACAGGTGTGTCTCGGAGCTGCACCCCTCTTGCTGGCCTGCCCCAGAGACTCCTGGGGCCCCGAGGAAGTCCGAATGGACACTGGATGCAGGAGAGAGGGGTGCTTCAGGCCCAGAGGCTGATGCTACAGCCGGTCCTCCTCTCAGTATCGGCACCCAGCTCCAGCCCCCAGGGCCCGCCCACACTCACCCACATACATGACCCCCTCCTTGGTCTTCTCAGCCGCCTCCGTCACCCCCTGCTTGGTCTTCTCCACGGCCCCCACCACGCCCTCCTTGGCGATGGAGAAGCCCTTCTTGAAGACGTCCATGGTGAGCGGAGCCGGCTCTGCAGGCTGTGCTGGCGCTGGCAGTGCTCCGCAGCCCTGTCCCCGCTGCCGCCTCTTATGGAGGCCGGTGAAATATTGATGATGCAGCCGCTGGCCTATGGAAGCCCAGCCAGCCTGGGGGTGGGACAGGGGGAGGGAGAGCAGGAGAAAGGAGGGGGGAAGGAGGGAAGGAGAGGGGAGGGAGGGAGGGAGGAGGGGAATGGAGCTGGCAGCAGGGTCCGGGCCCCCTGGGCCCCGGCGGGCTCCACCCCCCTCCTGCCCCGGGGGAGGTGCAGAGGGGCTGCAGCGGCTGGACGCCCCTCAGCCAGCGCCGCCTCTCACCCACTTGCTGCCCTGACACCACAGGGCCGCCCTGGCCAGGCGCTCTCGGCCTGGGGCTGTGTCTGTGGCAGCTGGACCATGAGGGGAGGAGCTTTGCTCCCAGCACCAGGGTAGGGTAGGGGTCAGGGCCACCCAGGCCTGTCAGGCAAGAGTAGCCAACCTTCCAGACCCGTCAGGGCTGCCCAGCCACTCCCGGGCTGTCCTGCTGTGCAAGGTTAAGCGGAGGAGCTGGGGGGGGGGGGGCCCTGACGCTTCCCCTGCAGGGCCTCTGGCGCAGCACCGAGCCCTCAGACCGAGCCTCCCCTGTGGCTCCCGGGGTGACGGCGCTGAGCAGGAGAAGTGCTCCCCGCGTGCTGGCCACCAGCATGAATGCACAGCAGGCTCCCCGAGACCCACCAATGCCTTTTACAGCCCCTCCGCCCTGTGCTCTCTCTGTCTCCGTGGGACATGGGGAGGGGGGCACCTCCTTGTGCAGCAGGAATGGCACAGGTGGGGCCTGATGGGACCTGGGTTTGGCAGCCCCGGCACTTGAGTTCTGGCTAGGAAAGAATGCAGAGCAAGACCCAAACTATAAGAGAACATCTACACTGGTAATAGCCTAGGTGGCATCATGCCCTCACGTCATCACAAGATGGCTGCATGCACAGTGTAGGCGGGGCCCAGGAGCTGCTCCACACAGTGGGGCCTGAGGGTCCTGTGGCTCTTCGTGGTGTGGAGGAGGCGGTCCCGGCAGAGGAGGCAGGTTGCGGCAGGGGAAGACAGTTGGGGGCAATCAGGCTGGCAGGGGAGCAGTCAGGAGCCAGCGGTCCCGGATTGTGAGAGGGATGTCCGACTGGCAGTTTAGGCCAGACCCACAGGGGAGAGTCCTAAACCGGCAGTCGGACATCCCCTAGATGGAGAGGGTGCAGGCTGGGCTGAGGGACACCCCCCTCTGTGCACGAATTTTGTGGACGGGCCTCTCTTTATTTATAAACTCCCAGAGGTGGAAGAAGTAATTTGTAGAAGAAATGAGCTTAAGCAATGAGTTCTAGAGGTAACGGAGGGGCCGGCGGAGCTTGGGCGTGAGGAAGGCAGAGGTGCACCGCCTGAGGAAGAGGGAGGGAGAGGCACAGGGCGAAAGCCCTTCGGGTGGATTTCAGGGAAGGTCCCGGAGGAAGGTCTCAACGGCATATTCAGCAGCTTTCCACGTGTGTCCTCTCAGGATGGAGAGCTCCACTGACCGGTCCTGAGGCAGCCTTGGTGTCACTCCTCTGGTTGTGCTGCCTCTGGGTCTGGAGCTGAGAGGTCTCCAGCGAGAAAGGCCACCGCCTGCTAGGAGAGCACAGGCCGCCCTGGGGAGGTCCCACCTCCCTCTGTCCTTTGCTAGACACGGGGCTTTCGCCCGGTGCCTGCACTGGCCCCCGCCCTTGCTCTGCTCCTGTCTGTCCAACTGTCCACCACACGTGGCCTCCCACTCTTCCAGGTCCCGACACAGGTCCTCTCGGGCCCGGGAACCAGCTGAGCTGCTGACGGCCTCTGTGCGGGTGGGGAGAGTGTGTGTGTGTGTGTGTGTGTGTGTGTGGACCACATGCACCGGTGGGCCGGCCTAGGCCACTTCCTCTCTTTGTTGTCCCGGCCTTCTCTTCCTTCGGAGCCTTCCCTTGAAGCAGTTTCTGGAATCACCGGCAGCGGCTGAGCCTGCCCACTGCCAAGATGATCCTGACTCTGCTGCTCGGCCTCGGGGGGGCCCTGGGCTGGGGGCTGCTGGGGGCCTCGGCTCAGGCCCCCGGTCCCAAGTTCTCTGACCCACCCAGCCCCGGGCTGCCTGGGGCCTGGAGGCCCGAGGCTGAGGACATTGGCAGCGACCGACGGTAAGGAGGAGCCTGGGCTTGGGGAGGCCCGGGCCCAGCTCAGCAGAGCGGGGCTCTCTGGACCTCAGTGACTCACCTGTGAAACGGGCTAGTGCTGCCTACAGGCTGCGCAGCTGTGAGGCTGAATGAGGTGCCGGGATGCCCGCCTGTCTGGCCTGGGGCGGGGAATGGCCCGGCGGCTGGGCAGTCTGGAGCCCTCCTGGCCGCCAGCCAGGCGGGAGCTGTGGGGCTGCGGGCCGAAGCTTCGGCTGGCCCCGCCGTGGCTCCTGTTCTTTGAAGCTTGTAGGTCCCGAAAGCTGAGTGGAGGTGGGGCTGGCCGGAAGCCACGGAGGACAGACGCTCCTGGAACCGGGTTTTATCTGAGTGCAGGGATGGCAGGGGGTCGGCCTGGCTCTGCGCCCAAGAGGGCGCCAGCTGCACCTGCAGGGCGGGAGGCGTGGCCCTGGGGATGGCCCCGTGGTCACCCCACTGACCGGGACCCTGTCTGCCAGCATCTATTTATCCGGGCCGGGGCCTCCCGCTGGGTGAGGCAGTAGGTCCGTGGGTCCTTCACAGGATGCCCACGTCCGCACCAGGTGCTGCTGACGGGCCGGGCGCCCTGCCAAGGTTATCTCAGTTCATCCTCTGACTGCACCGGTCACAGAGGAGGCGCCGAGGCTCAGAGAGGCTGAGCAGCTGGCCTGCGGTCACACAGCCAAGGAGAGCCTGAGCCGGGACCCGAGGCTGGTCCCTGGGTTCTCACAGGCAGCTCTGGCCCTCAGTGTGCCTCCCCCACCGACACCCCAACTTGATTGGGGAGCTCCATGGATTTGGAGAGCGAGAAGGCGCAACTCACACTCCCCAGGCGGCCACCCGGCCTCTGCGCCACCGCGCGGACTTACAGAAAGGGCTGACCCTTCACGGTCAGTGTGCTTACTGGACACTTTCCCAGGCGCGGATTTGATTAGGAAGAGGCAGGAGGACGGGAGTAAGCGAGTGCACACTGACCCTCAGGGAGGGACGGGCTGGCCCCGTTCCTGTCCTGCCCCTTGGTCTGCTCAGGTCCGGGAGGCACAGGCCAAGCCCCAAGCCATCAGCTCCGCGCCCTGTCCCAGGCCTCCTGCTGCCTTCGGTGAAAGGGAGGATGAGGGCGAGTGGGTGGGAGGACATAGCAGACGCTTCTCTCCTCCCTCCCTGGGCGTGGGCGGTGGGCACTCCCTTAGCCCCGGGGAGGGTGGCCTCTGGGCTGCCATCGCCGGGTGGCCCAGGGGTGCAGAGAGCGTGTGGGTGCGCACGGGCACTGTGGCCGGGAGTCCCTGCAGGCCTGCTGGGTCCCTTCCCAACCCGAAGCCACGGTTCCCAGCCAAGCCCAGGTCGTCAGGGCCCCGCAGGGGCTGGTGAGAAAGGAAGGAAACGCTGCACAGCTTCCTAGCCCAGCGCTTCCCCAGCTCCTGGGAGGGAGGGCTCCCCCCCCCCTCCTCCCCGCTCCCGGGCGGGACCGGGCGGGCGGGCGGACGGGCGGGTGGGCCTCCTGCACTCAGGCTGCACCCTGTCCCCGGTCCCTTGCTGCCAGCGCCGGGCTCCTGCCCCTCATTTGCCACTCACACTGGGGTCCAAGCCCCGCGGCCGGGCCCAGAAAATACCCTTTGCAAGAAGGTTGAACATGTCAATATAAGAAATCTCCAAACTTGCAGAGAATTATGGGGTTGAGCCAACCTGACAGCCAGGAAGGAGAATCTTAACAAACTGAGAAAAGACTCCGGAGAGCGCCAGTGTGCAGCTGTTTTATACAGCGAGCGAGCGAGGCAGGCGTCAGAGGGCATGGCACCCCTGGTGGGAGGGGGAGGGGGAGAAAGCGCGGCCCCGGGCTGGGTAAAAGGCACAGCAAGACGCGCTTCTCCTACACTGCGACAAGGACTTGGAAATTCACAGGGACAGCAGCTCGAGATGGCGTTTGGGGGAACAAGATGACATGAGGGTTTCTGTGGTCTCTGCTCTGGCATGGGTGCCCTGAGGGGTCAGAAAGGGGTGGGGGGCTGACATTCCGTCTTAGAGCAGAGGCGGCAGCCAGGCCCGGGGTGGGTGCCCACCATGAGGGTTTATGTCAGACCCTCCTGGGCGGCCACTTTCAGTGTCTGAGTCTGTAGGCCCACCGCCCGCTCCCGAGCCCATCGGGTCCCATTTGTGTCCACACACAACAGCGTGGCGCCCAGCGCAGGTCCTGGGGAGGATGAGGAGGGACGTGGCTGGGACCCCGAGGAGCGGCCAGTGAGCCAGCCGGCTGGGCACGGCCTCCGGGAGAGAAGAGGCCCTGCTCCTTGGCTTCAGGGGGGTGGGGAGAGCCGCATGGGGATGTGAGCTTCTCAGGGAAGGCTGAGCCTGCAAGGGGACAGCTGAGCCCCGAGGAGGTGCCCATGGCCACACTGCTGTGGCCGCCTGCAGTCCGCTATTCTCCCCTTTACCTGTGAGGCTTGGTGGGGTGGGGCGTGGGCGACCCAGGTCAGAGCTGGGCCCTCATCTGCCGGGCTGCAAACCCCAGCGCCTCTTCCTCTCCCGGAGCGGAGCGGGAGTGGAGACCTGCGCTCCCAGCCCTGGCTCGGCCCCACCCTGCGTTTCACTGCGGGGGGAGGGGTCACACCGGGTCAGGATGGAGCCCGGGCCTGCCCCCTGGACACACACACGGCAGAGCCCCGGTGGGCAGAGAAGCTGGCTCTGGCTGAAAGCCATGGGCTCAGGCCCCTTCCTAGCTCAGAGGCAAAGCCTTCAGGCTCACCCTGGGCACCTTCCTAGCTGACCCGGCCTCGGAGGGCTCAGGGCGGGGCTCCCGCTCCTTCGAGGCACTCACTGGCACATCCATAATTCAGGAGCCGGCCCTCCCAGGAGAGGCTCTCTGCCTCCCCACAGCCCTGCCCCTGCCCCCGAGAGCCAGCTGTGCGGATCTTCTCCATCTTTCCAGAACCGGTGTGTGTGTGGGGGGGGGAGTGAGGAGGGGCAGGGCTTGTTCACATGTCACCTAAGAGCAGGATGGGGGGGCGGGGGGCTGGCCCAGGCCACCCAGCTCCCATCGGAGGCCCTAAGGGCCCGGCCACTCTCTCCTGCCTGGGGCTGGGCATCAGGGGAGCAGCCGACGCGGGAGGAACCGCAGGCCTCTCTGCACCCCTGGAGAGGAGGGCGCACAGAGGGCGCGAGAACAATGGGCACCTCCACGAGCTGGGCTCGGGGTGCTCAGAGGCCAGCAAAGCTGCCAAGAGCTGGAGGAAACCAAAGCAAAGGTCAGGAATGTTCCCAGGGCCTCGGGGCCAGCAGCCTGCGCTGAGCGGGGGCGGGGGGGTGCCGGGGGGGCACAGGGGCTGCCAGGGGCGCGGCCAGAACAGCGGCCGTCGGAGAAAGCCAGCGGAAGGGTGCGCCAGCGCTGCCAGTTCCGGAGCTCTGGGTGGAAAGTCCTGGTCACGCCCGGTGGCCGCACGGCACGGCACGGCACGGCACGGCACCCGGCCTGGGCCTGCGGGTGCCGGCGTGGTGCGGGCCGCCTTGGGGCCCCGGGACTCTGACTCTGTGGTGCAGGCCGGGCCGGCACTGTGGGTGGGAGCGCGTTCTTGGCCTCTACCCATCAGATGCCATTAGCACCCACTCTCCGGCCTGACAGCATGAATGTCTCCAGAGGTTGCCAGGCACATGGCGGGCGGGGGGGGGGGTATGGGGGGGGGGCGGCTCCCTTTTGAAAACCACTGGTTCCGAGAAACGCTTTCTCCAGGGCTGGGCCCACGTTCCAGGAACTTCCACGGGCCCAGGGCGGGGCCGGCTTCTGGCCCGGGAACAGCCTGTCCCAGCCTCCCCGGCCCGTTTCTGGGGGGCATGGACGCCTCTGCTGACAGCCGGGCAGCTTCCTGGGCACGTGGCCCGCAGCCTGCACGGCCTGGGCACACAGGGCGCCACCCCTGCGCACCTCTGCTGCCGGCCTGCCTTCCATTGGCACCGTGCCCGCACAGCACGTAGCCTCTGTGTAAACACCAGTATGTGCTGACTGCCCTGTAAGAGAAGCCTGGCTGGCCGCTGGGATACAACTGAGCCGGCCACACATTTGCTGAGACAGTCAGAAGCCCCAGGGCCCCGGCCCTCACAGACAGCGGCTTCCAGCCTGTAGGTGGCTCTTTGGCCTTTGGCTCTGGACCTCTCGCATGCTCATGTGGCCACTTCTTGGGGCGAAGTATCATCTGTGGTCTGGCTCTCTTCCTGCTCCCTCCCCTGCCCCAGCGTGCACGGGTGCACACGCCCCGGCACACACGCATGGGTGCACACTAGCCTTCCCGTGTTTTCACGCTGAGTGCTACATTCAGAGCCTGCATATGCTGCTGAGTGTTGGTGCTTGAAAAGCTGTGTAACCCCACTCTAGAGCAGTGGTCGCGAGCCGCAGTTTGCCGCTCTGTTGACTAATGAGTTTGCCGACCACTGCCTTAGGAAAACAATTTTAATGTATTAATGTCTTTAACATGAAGTCAAAACTTCTGGGTAGGGGTAATGCTTACGCAGCCGGCAAAGTCAGTCAACAGCAGTTTGCTGACCACTGCCCTAAAGGAAGCAATGCCTTTTCTTTTTGCTATTTTTTTTTAAATGTCAGAGAGGAAGGGAGAGTGATAGAGAAACATCAATGATGAGAGAGAATCGTTGATCGGCTGCCTTCTGCAGGCCCCTTATTGGGGATCGAGCCCGAAACCCGGGCAGGGCATGTGTCCTTGGCTGGAACTGAGCCTTGGTCCCTTCAGTCTGCAGGCCGACGCTCTATCCATGGAGCCAAACCAGTTACTTCTCCTCTGTGTTTTTGTCTCGGTCCACACTCTCAGCCAGCTCCCTGGAGAGAGCCACTGTCCGTGGAGACTCCGTCACGGAGCTGTGCTCGGCCTGGCCGGCCCCCGCCCGGGCTCCCTGTGGCCTCGCGTGCTGGTTTGGTGCTTCCTCCTTCCTGGTGTCCTCCGTGGCTCTGCCGCTTAGCTCCCCGCATTCCCTTTGCAAATGATAGTTCT